AGAGAGACAGAGAGAGTTAGAGAGACAGAGAGACAGATGAAAGAGAATAATAGTTAAATAAATGATAATAATTATTATGAAATTACAGAAATTCAATTATTTTTAGAAATTTTTCTTTTCTATTAGTACATGTTTGCAGTAGATGTACCTTTCAATCATCTTGGGGAGATAGTACATGTACACAATACAGCTTGTTGCTTTTTCATTTTTTCTTCTTTTTTTGCGGAACTGGGGATTGAATTCAGGCCCTTGCACTTGCCAGGCAAGCGCTTATTCTACTGAGCCATCTCCTAAGCCCCCAGCTTGCTACTTTTTCAACCCCCTTTCCCTTCTCTCCCACCTCCTCCTCTAAATTTCTTTTCATTCTTGTTGTCATTATTAGTCTTAGCTCATGTTTATAACATGTATGTTTCCAGTTATTAAGGTCATTGGGTTCCTGTGCATGGTATACCTTTATTTATTTTTACTCTCCCTCTCCTCTCCCTCTCCCTTTCACCTTGGTCTCCTGGACCCCTTCCCATTTGCAAGAGATCTAAGAATGGTTTGTTAGTTACTAGTTTTCATTTATATGTATATGAGTTTCAAATTCTGATATTTCTAACTAGCCCTTATTGATCTGACTTTGTAATTTGCTGCATAACTTGCATGCAGATTAATTTATTTTGGTTTACAGCATGATCATATGAGATCTGGGGAGAAAATAATATCTACCTAAGCATTATGTCAAGCATATAAAAATGCTCAGCGATCTTAGTTGTTACTTATTTGTGGAAAAATTTAGAGGTTTTATGTATTTGGTATAGGATCTACAGGGTCTCACTATGTAGCTCTGACTCGTAGTGATCTTCCTGTTTTCAGCCTCCCAAGCACTGGGATTATAGGCATATGCCACCATGCCCAGTCTCAATCACTGTCTCAAAGCACATTGGGGACAGGGCCGGCACAGTATGGCGGGGGAGCTAACCCTGACCACTGCACTCTGCCTAAGCAGGCGCTTTAGTCCGCTGAGCTATCTGGCTGGCCCTAAGAAGTTAGTATTTTTTTTTTCAGAACCAGGGATTGAACTCAGGCCCTCACGCTTGCCAGGCAAGTGCTTATTCTACTGAGCTATCTCCCCGACCCCAAAATTCAGTATTTTGATATTTGTTTATTCATCGAATGCTTAAAAATTTTCAGCATGCTTTCTTTCGACAAATGGTTTTACAATTTCTATGAAAAGAGGTAAAAATAGGTTACCTACATTTTATGACAGCTGACTTGAATGCATCTGGCATGATTCATCTTTCCCTTTTGGAGGGGCATATTTACCCACTGTCCTATGTATTATATGAAAAATAGGATGGATTTAAATTTTGGGCATGAAGTTCTGCCTCATTCCTTGGTCTGCTTGTTGCTACTTTATTAAAACCAATTGCAAAGCAAATTTGCATTTCCCTGAACACAGAGGCTCCACGTACTCCGAGGGAGATACTTTTCTTTCATAGCAGCTATGGCCCAGCCCTTGCTATTTAACGCAGCATCATTAACCCCTCAAATGGAAGACAGGGTTCCAGCTAGTGAAAGCTGTTCTTTTGATTTCTCACTACATGATCAAGAAAACACTATATGCATGTAAGTCTCTGGCTTATCTACCTTCTCTCCACTAAATCAGAAAGAAGAGTTTGGGGACGAAAGGTGTAGCTCAGTGGCAGAGTACCTGCAGAGCGTGTAATAGTCGCCAGCACCACAAAAATGAACACAGGGACTTGAAGCAATCTGAAGGTGTTATAAATAATGTTCTTTTTGTTTTTGATATATCTAAAATTTCTTTTCAAGGACAAATGACATGATCAGGTCATATTTCACTTAATAGCTCAATTATTTACAATAGTTTGGTAATTTCATTAAAAAAAGTTTGTCAGAAATATCCTCTTGTGGAGGCCAGAGAGATGGATCAGTGAAATAAGTGTTTGCCTGGCAAGCACAGGTCCTGAATTCAATCCCTGGTACCACCAAAACAAACAAACAAACAAATAAACAAAGACATATCCTCTTGTTTCTCTCCATGGTTTGTGTCCGTGTAATACTGGGACTGAACCCAAGTCCTGGGCAGTGAGCTACATCCTGAAGCAGGTTTTTTATTTGTCTTTGATGAAGTCTTCTATAGTCACTACTTGCCTGGGCTGGGTTTAAATTGGTGACTTAGCTACCTCCACTTCAAGAGTGCGGGGGCGAGTGGGGGCACCAGCACACGCACCTCCATGGTTCCTGTCTTGGTTCAGATCTTCTCATCTGTTAGCGGTAGGTTGAGTGATATTCTTAGCAAACCAGAATTTGAGGAGCATCCTCTCAGGGCTGAGAATGTAGCAAAGTAAGTATGTGCAAGGTCGGTACTGCCTCTGTGTTCCTGCCTTCTTGCACAATGCTCTTACCTGTCTTTTGACCTTCTTCTTGTCCTTTGTCTCCACTATCTTCTAAGCCATCTCTATTCAAAATATCTCTGTAAACCTCTTCAGTAATCAACGTTGCCTAAAGGCTAGTTCCAAATTCTTTACGCAATATAAGGGCTGAACATTGGGTTCTTTTGTCCGACCCATGACAGGACTGCCTGGTTGGTCTATACTGAGTCTTTGAGGTCTATATCTTTAAGACTCAGTTCTGAAGCCACTCCTTTTGTTTTAGTTGCCAAAACCTTCCCTCTGGTAGTCACAGGATCCTGAATATTACCCTTTCCTCATTTGACTGTAAGAAGATGAGAGAAACTTGTGCTAACATCCTCTGTGGATTCATGCATCACTTCAACAATATCTAAATGGGTGTACGATCCCTTCTTCCTGTGAGTGGTTATGAGCCCAACCTCTGTATTAAGTGGTAAGTAATTCAGTAGGTTTGCTCTCTGCATTGCAGTCATGTCTTTGAAGCAATTTTAAAATAATCAGGAGTTTCTAGTAAGATATTTGGAGGATAATGCTTGGGAAAGCAATGAGTATTCTGAAACTATTTTGTGTTTAGTTGTAGGAAAAGCTTACTGGCTCTGAGTCCTGATTGAGTGTATTCGTGCCCTTCCTGTGTAGTATCATGGACTTTCTTCATCGCGATGTTAAACCATCATTATCTTTGGGAAAATGGCACTCATTTTATGGTGACTTCTGTGTATTCATTGGGCATTTCCTATAGTTTTCAGTGAGAGGTCATGGGACAGAACTAATGGGAAAAAAGGCTTCTCTTTTCTGACATCCTTCCCACTTAGTTTAGTTTGCTTGGACAAATTTTAATGGACAAGAGTTGTATAGATTTTACAGTAAACTCTTTGACGATATTTTAAGAAAACTATTCCTTTTTAAAATTTTATTTTTTTCCTTATTTTATTTCTTTTTATTTTTTCCTTTATCACTATTCAGGATTGAACTCAGGACTTTCACAATTCGGTATATTCACATCCTTTTTAATTTTGAGGCAGGGTTTTGCCAATTCACTAAGTTATCCAAGCTTGGCTTGGACTTGTGCTCCTCTTGTCTCAGCTTCTCAGAAAACTGGGATTACAGGTATGAGTCACATGTGGTAACATCTTCCTCCCTCCTCTGCTGTTCCCTCACCCTCCCTCATTCTCCTTCCTTTCTTCCTCTTTCTCCTCTTCCTTCTTTCTTTAGTAATAGCTCTTGATGACATTTCTGCACTCTTCCATCTCGCGATGCTGAACTCCATGAGAAGGGCCTGGAGGCTAGCGCGTAGGACAAATGGCAGTGTCTTTGCAAGTCACTTTTTGTTTTCATAGAGCATCAATGTATACACAGGAAGCAAAGGAGAGAACAAATCCCATCAAGCAAATAATTGATTTCCCACATGACACTGTCTAGGGTTGCAATGACAAAGAAAGTATACTGATTGTTCAAAGCGTAGAGTTTTGTGTTTGGTTTCAAACCATTCTTCTGAGTCACAGAACGAAAGAACTACTTTGTGAGGTAGAAACATAATGCTATATCTCTAAAATTCAAAGCTAGCTTTTCAGCATTGCCATTCACTTTGTCCTTTGCATCACACAGTGTGGCCATGGTGTACTACCAGTAGACTTTTCTTTTCACTTCTAAGCTGCATATGAGAAGTTAAAACATCCTTTACTCTGTAGGTTGCATAGATAGTCCATGTCAGTATAGACAGTTAGAATATTAGGCAGTAGGTTTATGAATGTATACTGTGAACTTGTCATTTTTAACTAAAGAAGTTTTAAGATTAACACTATTATGCATATAGAGTTAACTTTAAGAACATAATAATTAGATGAAACTATCTGCACTTGACGTTAACTTATGAAAGATGGTGCGTATGTGCTTTACCTTAGAGAATGAGCCCCATACTTCTGTACAGAAATGCATAGAATATGCTACAGGCAAGAATTATTCTCATTATTTTTTTAAGGGTTAAAACCCTCAAAATTGAAAGACAGCCTGTGAAATGTGCTGCAAATATATTGGGGAAGTCTCTGAGAAATATCTACACTTAAATGATATGTTGAAACATGTAAGACAAATAATCCTTGGGCTAAAACCATGAAAATTAATGCATGAATGCGTCAGCTAACACTGTGCTTATTCTCAGAAACATTTGTGTGTGTGTGTGTGTGTGTGTGTGTGTGTGTGTGTGTGTGTGTGTGCATTTATAGGAGACAGAAGCAGTATCATTGGGGAAAAAAGTTTTCTTAGAGGATTGAGAACAGTATGACTTTCTAGTTCCAAATTGGGAAACTTAGTTCTTTGGTTTCTTTGTTTTTAGCCCAGCTGGTCTCCAGCTATTTTAGCTGAACATTTTACATACTAGCAGAGAGCAAGGGAGTATATTTGGCAGCTGTTCATGGGATAATAATGCAATAGGCAGTTTAGTACTGCACGCTGTTGCTATAAAATATGAGGAATATTTTATGGAGGTCGTGGTGAGCCGGGCCGTGTCTGCTTTAGCAAGTGTGAGGCCTGAGAGAGGCCGCTGAACTTCATACGAGAATGTAATGGGAACTGTTTTTTTTTCAGGTAAAGAAAACGTGCACAGAATCCGATGTTTCGGAACCTCAGAATTCCAGGTACAGTAAAATAAAAATCAGACTTCACTAAGAAAAAAATAAAGGCGATTTTGAAAGTTTATAGCATAATATACTGTGCATCAGATACAATTGTCAATTGCAACACTGAGTGTCTTAAAGAATTTTTGTGTATGGAAATTGTGCATTACATTGACTAAGGTACCACTAATTATAACATCAATAAAGAAGATGTGATCAAAGTTAGTTTTTTTAAAAAATGCTAATAGAAATATTTCTAGAAATACTAGGAATATGCTCCCTTAGATGTTATTTCATTTATTTATTTATTGTATTTAGTACAGTGTCTATAGGTTTTGCAGAGTCCCACTACACAGATCAGACTCGTAGTGATCCTCTTGTTTTTCAGCCTCCCAAGCGCTGGGATTATAGACGTGAGTCACCACACCCAATCTCAGTCGCCTTCTCAGAGTACCCTGGAGGTGGAGCTGGCACAGCAGGCCAAGGATTGATCCCCTGGGTCCTGCATCTGCCTAAACAGGCACTTTAATCCACTGAGCTATCCGGCTGGCCCTGTTATTTTGAATTAACCTTACTTTTTTATCCCATTCTGTTCTTATGATACACTTAGATTTGAAATTACGCTCAGAACTGAATAACTGGCAAATCTGTTTACAAAATCAGAAAACAACCCTTAAAAAGACTCTTCTAATGGAATACTGTTAGAGTTTGAGAGTGGTATCAAATTATTAAACTCAGCATTAACTTGGCATTGTCTTTTTGGTTACTGGGAGCTGGCAGAAATGATGACTTGCCTTTGGCAGGCCACTCCATAGAGGAATAGAGCAGCATTTTGTTGTTTGTGGTTAGACTGGGTTCACAATGGACTTTTAGGCTTGTATATTTTCATTGCATCTCTCTCAAAACCCAGGCCTCAATTTTAAATGGAGAACAAAAGTATTATAAGTACCATGACAATAATAAGCATATGTCCTTAGTAGGATATTAATGATGTGACTTACCTTATTACACTAAGGAATCTGAGTTCATTGTGAGATGGGAACTGGTGTCTTGTGCCACTCAGTGCAGCATATAGTGTTGGTAAGGGTTTTCTTGGTACAATAAAACAATACAAATCTGAGTAAAATGCTCATGGCAGCTATATTTTTCTGTCATAGAGCAAGTATATATTATGTGCTAGTATGCTATACTTGTCGCTGATTCTTCTAGATATGGCAGCAATTGTATACATGTAATCCATCCCTTTGCCTCATTAATAGCATGCAGTATAAGATAGGATTATTTGATCCTTATTCCTTCTAATTAGCTATCAAAATAGAAACAAATAATTTTCATCTTCTTGGGGCATTAGGAATTGGATTTGGCGTTAATTAGTTTCGTGCAAAGCAGAGAGACGTAAGATGTGCAGACAGAAAGAGCGCTGGGACTCCGTGCTGTGTGAGGCGACCACCCAGTCATTCTGCTGAGCTATAGGAGCCGGGGGCCTGGGCCTTGCTCTGCACGGACTGGGGGAGTTAAGGGGGCGGCTCAGTCATTTTTGTAAGCAGTATATCTTGAAAATAGAGGGTCAAGTGAAACACAGGACAGTAAGATCACTTGTACTATTAGTATTTCAGAGCAGTTTTTAATGCATGACAGTACTCAGGAGTTTTTGATACTTAATCTTACATAAGTTTTAAGCTTGGTAGAAAACTCTCAAACTGGCTCAGTGTTCACAGGTGGCATCAAGTTAGGAGAAACTTGAAAAGTTCAGAGCTCAGTGAAGTTATAAAACTAGATTATTCTTTCCTGTATAGAAAAATTCCATCCTGTGTGACTTTAGCTTTTACTTTAATCTGTAAAGTTTATTTTCTGTTTCTTTCTCAAATATTCTACATTTAAAGTAACCACAAAAACAACAAGGTTGTAGTTTACATTTTTAACACAATTTCTGAGTAAATTGTTTTAATTTTAAAGAGAGGAGAAAAATAAAAAGAGCAACAAAAGAGTTTCAGAACAGACCAGTATGATAGTAACAATAATTAATGCATTGGATATTGTCATCATCATATTAGCTACAGTATAAGATACAGGAGTGAGTTTAAAACTGTAGTTTCAGAGCGGAGCAGGTAGTTCAGTACTAGAGCACTTGGCAAGCATGTGGGAGGCCCTGGGCTCCATCCCTACGCATAGCACCAAAAACAAAAACAAAAGTAGAAGAACTAAAAAGTATTTTACTTTAAAAATAAATAATGATTATTTTAAATGACCTTAAAAGTTATTCTATTATTTAAAAACATTATCTCTGTAAGTTGAATAGCACTTCAGTTCCATAAACTATTAGCAGATATTTAATGTTAGCTACTCCTTGGCTTTTTCTTTCTTTCTTTTTTTTCTTTTTTTTTTTTTTTGGTGGAACCGAGTATTGAACTCAGGACCTTGCACTTGCCAGGAAAGTGCTTATTCCACTGAGCCATCTCCCCAGACCCCTAGCTACTCCATAAAGTCACTTCTTATGTAATATAAATGGGTAAATTTAGGCAAATGACCTTCTTGGAATGGTAGAGCTTTTTTTGCCATCAAAACCAAGTAAACTAAATAAGCAATCCCTATCAAAAGCCCAGATGGGAAAACCTGAGAGTTTCCTAGGTAACTTACCATTTCAGGACGCCCAGACATTTTGGTGGTGGGTGTTTTTTTTCCGATTCTTGGTGACACAGCTCAACTCTACACTCTAATCAGTGTTAGTAACATCAAGGCGTGACGGTTCTGGGGTTCTGAATTTATTCACTGACCCTAAATCAGCACAGAAGCAGTGATGACACTCGATCATGGAATGATGGAACAGTAAGAAAAGAGCACTTTATATAAAAGGATATGATCATTACTAAATACTTAAGGAATCAAGAAATGCTTAAAATAACATTTATTATTTACACTCACTGAGATTCTGATTTATAACCCTAAACAGTGACTTAGTAATCCATGCCTAGGTCCATTCTGGTTTGCCCATTATGAATCGTAATATGTATCTCTTTATCCCTTCTCAGTCCACCTAAGCATGTGTGTGTGTGTGTATCTCTGTGTGTGTGTGTGTGTGTGCATGTGTAAGAGAGAGAGAGAGAGAGAGAGAGAGAGACAGTTGGATTTTAGAGTCTAAAGCCTGGAGCTTTGTAATTGTATCTAAACAAACCTTCAGTAAATAATTGAACTCAGAATGAAATGTAGCATATTAGCCTAAAATGCAGGCTGGAGATCCACTGCCTTAAAAAGTGCTGCCTCACTTGAGTTTAGAGCTAAGGTCCTGCGTTCACTTAGCCAGCTTTGTGCTGTGTTAGTTTTGGATTTGTAATGATTCGAATAAATGCAGATCAGAAAGTGTTTTTATAGTAGGGAAGTAATGAAACTGGGTGTGGAGGCTTTGTCAGGAGAATTCTTGGAGTGACAGATGTGTATCAGCAAATTCTTTGTCTTGCTTGGCCCTAATTCCTTTTGGAAAGAAATGCTTGGACTGCAGATGTAACGAGATGATTCGGGAAAAGAGAATTTACAAACTCATGCAGTATGAGCAAGGCAAGCCTGTACACACACACACACACACACACACACACACACACACACACACACACTAAAAGCTAGACATCAGGAACATTATTTGCTCTGCTTCCTAAAGCTATTAAATTTGATATAATGTGGAATGGAATAAAATACACTTCACATAAAATTTTACATTCTTTGAATATTTTCTTTTTTTTCTTTCTTCCTTCTGTGTAGGTGCCCATATCTGGAGCATATTCTTCTCTCTGTTCTTAAAAATAATGTGAACCATAAAATAAGTTATTTAAAATAGTAAAGTTTATATTTGTCTCATGTTTCACTTCTCCTCCAAGTAAGTCAACTACTACATAAACCATCTTAAAAAGTAAATGAAAACTTTATTTTTAAGTTGATTTTTTTCTGTATTCATGGCAAATTTATCAGTATAGTTATGCTTTATTTAGGTCACTTTAAAGGAACATGGTTCTTATTAAATATAATAGGTAGCTGCTGGGTATTTTTAACTCGATGTTTTCCTGAATGTCACATTTAAAAAAATTCTTCTAATTCAAGTCTTTTTGATGTGTGATAAGAGAGGAAATAATTGAGCTCATTCTTCAATGGATCCTTTCTAAATATTTTAGAATTCCTCTCTGGTAAAGTGGTCTGTGTTATTCCCAAGGGATTCTTTGTTTCATTGTGATCTTTTATGCAGTTTCTCGTTGCCTTTTCTCTTTTGGGCTTCCTTTTTTGAGCAGGGTCTCCAAGAAGACAACGGAGATATAGAATGGAAATGCAACTCAATTCAGGCATTTTTATTTTACACTTGTTCTGTGAACTAAAGAGTGAATAGAAATATAAACGTTGGTGAAATTGGGCTGTGAGGCAGCTTCCAGTGATTACACCAGCTCTTTCCCTTCGGTGGCTCTGTTTCATCCCGCCCACAGTACCGCCTGCAGAACACAGGGATGGGATTGCAGGGGGACTAGTAAAACAGAGGAAGCACTAGTGACGCAGAAGAACCAAGATGATGGTTTTTCATTATGGTGAGGAGAAAGAGAGTCCATGGGCAACGGTGAGGGTCGATCTTCTCACTTCATAAGTCAAACACGTTGCATTTTCTGCGAATGGATCATTGAACGGATAATTAACTGAAATCAGTTAAGGTCTCAGCCTGTATCTCCTTGCCTAAATCTTTATTGACTTTATCCAGAGAAAGGCAAAATGATCGTCCAACTTTAAAAAAGCATTGGAATTCATTTTTGTTTAATAGCTAGTGTTTAAGCAAGCCCCAGGAAGTTTATCGATTCAAGGTGTAGCTAGAAAAGCTTTAAAAATGCAGTGAATTCATCATTTTAAATAGTTACGATTTAACAGTGTTACAGTTAAGGCATTAAATGGTACATATTTATTTGCTAGGATAATAATTTTTGCAGTGCCTCCAGAAGACTGAAGTGTTTATCTGCATATAATTGCCTGTCTAAAAATTAAATGCTATATTGTTT